GCCCCCCGGCCAGCCTGAAGAGGGGGAGGGCGGCAGGGGCGGTCGGGCCTCGTCAGGCTTCCCAGATCGGGCCAGAGCTGATGAGGTTGGAGTTTCGCGTCGCACCGCCGATGCATCGACGCTGTGTTGGGGTTCAGAGCCCGATGTTCTCCATGCCGACACATCGCAGATGCATCGGTGATGCGCCGCGATCCTCCGAACCCGTCTGCTCTGGCTGTATTCGGGAGGCCTCCATGCCAGGATTGCGGAGGCAGGAACCCCAATTCATCGCCCCATGGCGGTCCAGAGCACATTCCTGGGGCACTGTGGAGGCGCTTTGGAGCGACCGCGGCGCCCGCTGGCCAGCCTGATGAGGGGAGTTGGGCGAAGGGGACGAGAGGAGAGGGGGGGAGGGAGGTAGGGAGGGAGGAAGGGAGGCAGGAGGACGTAGCTTGCCACTGGTGTGGCCCGCTTGCCGGCGGCCCTCAGCTCGCGCCGAAAGGCCATAACGAATTGGCCCCCAGCCGCCCAGCAGCCTCACAGGGCCAGCCGGCGGCCAGGGACGGGGGCAGGGGACCTCCCGCCACTACTGCCTGGGCGTCGGGCCACAGCACTCCTGAGCCGCTGGGTCCCAGACCCTGCTCGGGCCGCGGCCTCCCTCGAGGGCCTCGCCCGCGCTGCCTCGCAGGCCTCCGAAGACCGGCAGGGGCTTGCCTCCCAGGCCCGCCAGCAGCCCGACGAGGGCCCGCCTGCAGCCCTGGAGGCGGTGGGCTGGGGCAGAAGGCCTCCACCGCCTGGGACCCTGGGGCCGCGGCACTCACCTCGAGTCGCCGCGCCCCGAGCCCCCCCCCAAGCACGTGGCCGAACCGAGAGTCCGCCAAGGTCCACTCCCACAGGCGTGCGGGGCCGCGGCGCTCCCCTCAGGTCTGCCGCACCCTGGCACGCCGAGGGCCCGCTGGCTGGCGGCCTGCGCGGCCGCCGTGGCTGTGGTCGGGGCGAGCTCCTCCGCCAGGCGGGCCAGCCGCGCTGGTGCCCATCCGTCGGCCTCGGCATTCTGGAAGCGACCCAGGGCGGCCTGGAGCTGCAGCACCGCGTGCACGCCAGCCACCTTCTGGGCCTGGGCCTCCGGCTCCGCCTCCGAGGACACCGCCGAGGCTCCGGCCAACGCCGCCACCGTCACCTCCAGCTGGGGCTCGCCCTGCACGAGGGTGCGGCCATGTTTATATTTATTGTTTTTCTTATTATGCTGTTTCTCATGTTTCTTTCTTCTTATCATTATTATCATTATGTGAATTATTATGTTTATTCTTCCTCTCATCCTGCTCCTTCCCCACGTTGTGGGTCCAGTCCGACTTGAAGGGAGGGTTCTTCAGCGCCCGACTCCACCAGCTGAGTCTTGACCCAGAGGCGTCGGGCCGCTGCTTCCCCTTCTTCTCATCAAACGTTGCCTGGTCGAGAGGGTGTCGCGTCCACGTCCCCCGTCTGGGGGGTGCTGAGGGCTCCCCGTCCTGCGTGGCAAAGCCGTGCAGGTCCCACCCAGCCTCAACCCCCTGGAGTGCTGCACCGCCAGCTCGCCGAGAGACTCCAAATCCGCCTTGCCCGTCCCCTGTAACAACTTTGCCTCCCCGAGGTCCTCGCCCGCCTCCTCTCAGGAGGGGGGAAAGAATACACAGACACATTTAATCGTCGATCACCAGGAAAATATGGGACAATTACCCCAATGCGACCCTACCTAGAAGTTGGAGCCCCTAGGAAAGCAGCATTAGTTGATATGCTATGCTATGCTATGCTATGCCATGCAAGGCTGCGCTATGCTATGCTGTGCTGTGCTGTGCTATGCTATGCTATGATATGCGATGCTATGCTATGCTATGCTATGTTATGCTGCGCTAAGCTATGCTATGCTGAGCTAAGCTATGCTATGATATGTCATGCTGCGCTGTGCTATGCTAAGATATGATATGCTATGCTATGATATGCTATGATGCTGCGCTATGATATGATATGCGATGCTATGATATGTTACAATGTGCTATGCTTGGCTGTGCTGTGCTATGCTTGGCTATGTTATGCTATGCTATGCTATGCTATGCAAATACAGCGCTGCGCTATGCTAAGCTAAGCTAAGCTAACCCTCTAGGCAGAGCCTAGGTAGGGAATTACACCCATGCTAATTACCCGAACAGAAAACTAAACTGGCAACGCGGTTGGCACACACGAGCGCCACAAACTACACCCACAGATCCGGGGCAGGAGGACCAGGAGCTGGATGACGGTGAGGATGACGAGGAGGAGCAGGTGGCAGCGGCGGCAGTGGCGGCAGCGGCGGCGTCGCCCATGGATCCGTTGTTTTGTTTGTTCTAGGCGGGGGGGGGGGGGGCGACGACGATGAAGGTAAGCTAAGATGAAATAAGCGAAGCTAAGATGAAGGGAAGTTAAGCTCAGCGAAGCTAAGATGAAGGTAAGCTAAGCTAATAATTCCTTTGCTTTTGCTTTTGCTTTTGCTTTGCTTTGCTTTGTGTTGCTTGTGCTTTGCTTTGCTGTCGCTGCTGTTGCTTTGCCTTTGCTTTGCTGCTGTGCTATGCTGTGCGCTGCTATGCTATGCTATGCTATGCTATGCTGTGCTGTGCTGTGCTGTGCTGTGCTGTGCTGCGCTATGAAATTATATGCTATGCTGCGCTGTGCTATCATATGCTGGGCTATGCTATGATTCTACAGGCTTGCGCCACATCCGCCGACCCCTTCTGTGACTGTTGCGAGGCCAGGAGTTTCTGGCCAGCGGCGTCTTGTGTGAGGGTGCGGTGTCTCGCGCGGGTGGTGGCAGATACGTAGGGGGCCCAAATGTTTGCGTGATGCCGGTGGTCTGGGGCGTGTTTTGCGAGCGCCTTGCGTGCTGTGCACCCGGGTGCGGGGCGTCCTTCTGGGAGGTCGGCTTTTCGACCCACCGGCAAACGAGAGGAGCAAGAGTAGCGTGCGGAAGCTGTGATCAGCGAAGCATCACCGCGAAATATGTGGCAGATGAGTCGAAACGGGTGAAGAGGCTGTTGACGTTCGCAGCGCGCACGAAACAGTTCGCGTGGCAGCAGCACATTAGCGCCGAGCAAGATTGTGAGCACGTCGCGAGGAAGCGCAAGGCTGCATGCGCGGAGTGCATTGCAGTTGGCTTGGCTGCTCGCAATGCGGAAGCGTCTGGGGGTCTTTTGGAGGCCTCTTGGGGGCTTCTTGGGGGCTCCTTGGGGCGTCTTGGCGGCCTCTTGGGGGCCTCCGGCGGCCTCTTGGGGCACTCTTGCGGCCCCCTGGGGCTTGTGGGGGCGGGAAGCTAGATTTTTGAATTTTTGGTTGCCCTCTTGGGCCCCTCTTGGTGCCGTCTTGGAGCCTTCTTGGGCCGTCTTGGAGCGCCGCGGAGAGACCCTCCGAAACGCCCGGCGGAACCAAGTGACGAGCATTGCGACAAGGCACGGAAGTTGCGAGGAATCTGACCGCTGGGGACGGGATGGATAAGGGGGACGTGGAGGAGGGAGGATGGGGGAGCAGCCAAAGGCGGAGAAGGTGAAAAGTGAGCCAGTGGAGGGAATACGAGACAGAAAGCTGAGAGGGGAGACGGGAGGAGGGGGCGGAAGAGGAGGATGAGAAGGAGCAGGAGAACACGACGAGGACGACAATGGCGGCGACAGACTCGACGGCGTAGGCTGGGCACCTTTTTGGGGCCATCTTGGGGGCTTCGTTGACCGTTGTGGGAGCCTCTGGCGCCGTCGTCGTGAGAATCCTCTCGGGGGCCTGCGGGAGGCAGTTTGGAGGCTTCTGGGGAGCTGTTTTGGGGCAGCTTGGGGCTTTTTTTGGGCTTGTTGGGGGCCTCTTGGGGGCTTCTTGGAGCCTCTTGGAGGCCTCTTGGGGCCTCCTTGGCGCCTTTTGGGGCGGAAGGCTAGAATTTTAGGTTCGTGGTCCCCGTCTGGAGCCTTTCTTGGGCCCCTCTGTGGGCCCTCTTGGACTGTCTGAAGGCCCTCTTGAGCCGTTTTGAGGCGCTCTTGGGCCGTGTTGGGGCCCACTTGGGAGCCTCTCGGGTCGTCTTGATGCCGTCTTGGGGGCTTCTTTCGCCGTCTTGGAGCGTCGGAAGCCCGAAAAAACGCGAAGGCCAAAAACGTTGAAAAAACCAATGGAAATCGACGATTTTGGCCTCTTGGGGCCATCTTGGGAGGCGTCTTGGAAGCTTCTTGGGGCGTCTTGGAGGCATCTGGGGCCATCTGGAGGCCATCTTGACCGTCTTCGAGTGTTTTTTCGGCGACTCGGGGCCCTCTTGGACCGTCTGCAGAGCTTCTTGGGAGCCTCTTCGCTCGTTTGCGGCCCCCCCAGCAGACTCTCTGGAGCGGATGACCCCCCCCGGACCGCGCCGGCGGATCCCGGGGAATCCGGCCGGACCCCCCCCCCCCCCCCTCCAAAACGACCGGACCAGGCTCCGGGGGGAGGGGTTTGGGGAGGGGGGAAGCATCTCACACGCCGATGACCCCAAGGGGTCGGCGGATATGCTCTGCTGCGCTATGCTATGCTATGCTATGATATGCTGTGCTCTGCTATGCTAAAGCTCAGCGAAGCTAAGATGAAGATAAGCTAAGCTGAGACTAAGATGAAGCTAAGCCAAGCTAAGATGAAATAAGCTGAGATAAGATGAGACAAGCAACGCTAAGCTAAGGAGACGTAACTGGGGGAACGGCGGGGCGGATGCCGGGGGAACCGCCCGGGGCGGGCAACAGCCCTGCCCTTTAAGCACAGCCAGTAAGAACCCTTCTAGGCAGAGCCTAGGTAGGGAATATGGGATGTGTGGGGGAAGACAAAAGCTCCGAAAATATGGGAAAATATGGGGAAGCTTGTCATTCGTGTCTATTGATTTGCGTGTCCCAGGGCCCCTTCCATCAGCTCCTCCCCCTTCGCCGATGGAGCAACGGACACTCGACGCCGGGCGCCGAGGCACGCGCGCCAAGCTCCGCGGGGAGCAGCGCGTGGCCCCCCGCCGGGAAAGGGGAGCG